CTCTGATGCTGCAGAGAAATCTAAGACATCAAATTTTCCCTAATCCATTCACAAATACATTTAAAATTTTGAAGCAGACTATGCCAGAAAGGTTCAGAGTCCATTCTTAAAATTTACCCAGTTTTCCCCAACCTAGTGCCTTCTGGGTGTGTTATTTTTATTTATTTAGCATGTTTGTATACTGTCTCATAGCCACATGTTTCCCTAGATCATTTACATAATGAAAATCAACAACATAAAACATAATAAATAACATAATTAGACTTCAACACCCATCATCTCCATCCATCAAGGCCAATAGAAATTGTAGCACAACATATGTAAAAGGCACCAGTTTAGGAAAAACTGATCTAGAGACCTTCAAGCTACCCAACAAGGCAGACAGATATTTCCAATGCTCCAGATAAAGCTGAGAGGGAGGGGGGTACTGTTCTCCATGTTTCTCACATCTATGGAACACATGGATCAGCTTTCATTAAAACTGCAGGTAGGAATTTGCAGGAAACAAACCTATGACCTGAGAAAGAGGGAAGAGTAAGGCTCACACAGAGGAAGACTTCTAATTCAAGTCACACACACAGCAAAAGAATTATAACCACATGGTGGAGATTAGATGAGCAGAGCCGGCTGGAGCCAGGGGTCAGACTAGATGGCCCAAGAGACCCCTTCTGACTCGCTTTTTTTGTATGTTTCTATCCTACATCCTGCCTCAGTAGTTGGTTTCTATAGCTCCCACCATCACATCCCCCTTCTACCTCTAGTGCTGGATGTTTGTTCCTGAAAGTTTATACATATAATTTAAACAGATGTGCTCCAAACTAGGACACTGCTCCCATACTTTTGAAATTTGGTAAGTATTCAACTTATTCCCAAGTACACAAAATAAAATAAACCTCATATTTTAAAACAGGAAGAATTGATCTAAACCTTAATAATATGTCTTAATGTTTAAAATTTTATTTACACCCCTTTATTTTTGTAATGTTGTGCTCAGAAATATTACAAGTATAAATTAATAAATTTAATAATAATTTCAAAACTGCCCAGTAAGCAATACCATTTAACTAATTGGATTCCAAATTATACCTTCTCTCTCAAATTGAATTCCCTTCCAGTATCAGTCAGCAATTATTCTTTGATTTGCCATTTTAAAATGTCAGCTTAACTATTCACAGACTGACAATTAACTGTTCTCTCAGGAGGTGTCCTTTTCTCTCCATATGTGGCTCTACTACCCAGCTAGTATTCAAAGCTTTTTCAATTTAAGGCACAACAAAGGGATTCTAAAGCTGAAACTACAGATAACTTCATTAGGTATGCAAATAGACCATCGCTATACTCTAAACAAAGATATACACATTGAAAAAGTACTTGTCTTTACCAAAGGAATAAAAATCAGTTCTCCACAAAGCATCTTTAGTTTCAAATGGTTTTAAAGACCAAGAAAAAACTTCACAGATATGCAAGGGAGGAAAATAAAAATACAAAAATGTTCAATGAATGTTGTATCTTCATATAAAATAGAGCCTATTTAAAGTTCTAAATACTCATAACCCACAATATAAATTACACATTTATAAGAAAAGGCATTCTACTCATTTTCAAATTGTCTTGTGTGACTGCTGGTGGTCCACCTAGGAGGATGTACTTGTGCACTAGCAGGTGGGCATTTACAGGATTCTAAGTTTGTCTTTCTTGACTTCCAAACATCTTTACAGATAATTGAAGAACAAGGCCAACCCTGAAGACTTGCATTTGTGAAACAAAGAATCAAATTTGACCCACATCAGCCACCACATGAACCAGGACTATGTACTGAAAGGAAAGAAAGTAAGGTACTCCTAGAAGTTTCTATTGGGATCTAGCAAGAAAGGTAGATATGAACTGGAAAGCTTATGGCACCATCTAAGGAGACTTTCACAGAAGTCCCGGCTGCCATACTTACTCCTGTTCTATGGTTCCATATAAAAGCTTTCATGTAAAAGCTTACATGTGCACGTACAAAAAGCTTTCAAGCTTTCTGTTGGTTTAGCAGAAGAACACAACAAACAACAACCAGTACTTTAGTATATCATTTGCATGCTAGACTTACCACCCAAGCTACAAGCAGAAGGATGTTTACATGGATCTAGACTGCTATGGGAGGAAACAAATAAGTGGCATCTATATTAGTTGAAAGTATGTAAAGAGTGGGTCTTAGACAACAGAGTGAAAAGAGATGAATATTTGAAAACAGCTTCAATATTTAGGGAGCCAGTATTCAAGACTAAAGTAAAAATGGACTACAGAATGCTGTTCTTCAAGCTTACAAAACCAACAACTTCTGAAATGTGGAGGTCCATAAAAACAAAGTGCCTACAAAAATGAATCCTGGTATTAGTGAGGGAAAGTTTTTACAATTCTGGAGAAGAAATCCAAACAATCCTGTGGCATACTGGTGGCAGGAAGTGGGCCTTTTGATCCTGGTCCAGTAAAGATATTATGAAAATAATTGTTTGACAGTGTCAATGAATATCTAGATCTAAGGCAATGAGCAGCTAGATCAAAGCCACACTGACTCTCTACAAATGCCTGCTTTACATTTATGGGGGCCCCAGCAAGATGCCTCCTAGTGTTTCCCAGAAGGTAAGTTCCTTCCCTGGTGGCAATTATGTCAGGCAGTCTGAGGGACAGTGGGAAATTTTAAAGGTATGGGGCTTGGCATCAGGTAAACAAGTGCCCCAATACATTGAATTTTTAACCTTGAAGTAGTTTCACCACTAAAAGTTTCCTCATTTATTTGCATTAAACATTCACAGCAGTGAAAAACACCCATGGGCCTACTTATACTAGAACTGGAATGCTCAAGTGCACAAGAGCCTGGAGACCCTGACATGAAGAAAACCAACAGCTAATACTTTGAGGCCAACAGAGGTTTGGGAAGAGAGTGGAAGGAAAAAACGTGGAATTTACATTTCAGGAGTTAAGGACCAAACTGTCCAACTACAAAGGGTTAAAGAATACCCTCTGTCAACCTTTAGTTAATTAGCTTAACCCCTTTCAGGCTACAGCAAGGATTGCATATGTTTCTTTTAAACGAAACCTCAAAACATTTTCATTCCCTTTCTTTCATCATGCAGAAGCTAAACAAGCATTAGCCAGCTCATCTTACCAGGGACATACCCTTCAAGTAACTGTCCAGGCACACTCTTTGCTTGCCCTCAATTTGACATATTTGAGTCTGCTTATAGACAGTCAAAAGCAGAGATCATTGGGAATTCAGCTGAACAGCCCAATGATAAGCTTTCAGTGGGATAAGATCCTAGCAAGAATGCTCTAGATTCTAGACCTAGGGAGAGTTTGTTGAATCTGCATATACATGGAGATCGATCATTAGGATTAGTTTAGGAGAAGACATCTTTAATATCCTGCTCTTAGTGCCAACCTCACTATAAAGCAAATCTCACTGAACTCAGCATGAAAGAAAGAAGTTCTTTGAAAGAAGCTGTGTTTACAACAGGCTGTAAGAGTTGCACATTTCATCTAATTTCCAAAAATACATTTGTAAATCTCAAAATCCTACATTTAGAGACCAACATAAGAAACTTTAAATATGTTTTAACACATTATTTAAAAAATGTCTCCCACCTTCTTCACATGGGCTGAGTTAGTGGAGAGTGAAGGCTTATTGGGAATGGAATGCCACTTACTCTACCCATCACTGCATGTGGTCAGGAATAAAGAAAGCTATAGTCCAGTACCATCTGGAGGGCTGCAAGTTCTCCATCTTTGGGAACTGGGACACTGTGGAAAAATGAAAATGGCGTGTGGCTTATCACCACTACCTCCACATAAGTCCACAGCCAGGAGGAAATACCAATGAACAAACTGTTAATATGAAGAAATGTCAACCTACCCAAAGAGATGAACTTGCACACTACCCTCCTTGATTGGTATACGATTGGTGTACTGCATATGCTATAAAATCCATATATGAAAAAACATTCTGTGCCTGTTTGCTTCAAAGCATTAGCCATTTTGCTGGAAATAATTTGCACAACCACATCAAGGGCTGATGTAACCAGAACTATACACACACTTCTTTAAACTTTTTTGTGTTGCTTCAGCTGCTTCATCGAATGAACCAACCCTTGAACGTAAGTTCTGGTATATATTAAGTTCAACTCAGCAAAAGGCCATCAATGGGACTTCTTAGATGGGATTGTCTGTGGGAATAAAGCAGTAGAACTCTTTCCCACTCCACCAGAATAATACAAGATCTCCTGGCCCATAAATACAAAGGATACATTGCAGCCCTTTCCTAAACTTAAAAGGGCACAGTGGTATGCATGCTTACAGAGAAAAAGGTCATACAACTCCCAGCAAGCTGGTTGGGGAATGCAAGGTGCTCTAAGACTTTTTCTGTCTAAACTTGCGGAGGATTGCACCTTTACAGCATAGGTGTAACAGAGATGCTGAAAGACTTTCTAATAGTTTCTTGGAAATGAATCTAACTACCCAACTTAATTTGAAACAGCTCAGCAGTAGTTAGTGCACACACAAGTAACAAAGTGGAACATGCCTTTGGGCATGAACAAAGTCCCTGTGGAGTCACTACCATAACCATGCTAAGCACTTAGTACATTTAGGGTTTGCAATAGGAATTTATGTGATGAGAAACATGGCTTCTTGACACCCATAACTGTCATGTAAACCTTCAGTAACACTTGATGCCAACACATATAATGGGACACAAAAGGTGGAGGAAAATAACTCGTAACGCAACGACTTCTGGAATAGCCATTTACAAGCTGAAGCGGACGTCATGACTGGGTCATCCCGCGTTCTTTGCCCCGGAGCCATCTGTCCGTCCGCGAGCGACTCCCCACCATTCTGCAGAGTGCAACTCTCCACTGAGAAACTTGCAAAGAAGTTGAGCCGCCACTTTCCACTGGGGCGCAGAAAGGAGCTTTTGCTCCTATCGGTGCTGCTGCTGTAGCACCGGAGGCGGCGGCAGTTACCTGCTAATGTAGCCGTCGCCGTCCCCATCGCAGGTCTGGAAAAGGCGCCTCATCCTCTCTTCCTCGCCCGTGCTGGAAGTGTCGCTGCTGCTACTCCCGGTGCTGCTCATGCTCACCTCCACCACCGCGGCCGGGGCTGCCGCTGCCGCCATCATGCGCTCTCTCCAGCGGAGGGGGAGGAGATGACGGCAGGGAGTGGGAATGACGGCTCCGGCCGCACAAGCTCAGTCAGTCGCCCAAGTTCCTCGGAGCCCTCCGCTCGCGGGGGCCCCACACACACAATCCCTCCCAGCTCGGCCGTCGCACGTACAAAGCGCGAGCAGCAGCACAATGCAAACAAGGGGGGGTGGGGAATTCCAGGCGCTTCGCCTCTTCTCGCGCACGAATTCAGCGCGCGCCTCTCCTCGCGCCAATCAGCGGCATCCTGGTGGCGGTGCGCGCCTTTGAGGGAGCAGTCCTGCTCAGGCACGCTCTTTTCCGAAAGGAGCAGCCTAGACGGAGTCGCGCGCTCCATGGGAAAGTTCAGAAGCAGATGAGAAAGGAGGCAGGGGCGGCGGCAGCCGCTGGTGTGGTCGCAGCGACCGAAACTGGCTGCCCAGCGGGCCGCCTGCATAGCGAACACGGTCGGATTGTCACGCAACGTTAGGGTTTAAGCCCGTTTGGTACGATCGCTTTTCTGTAATTCCTTATTACAGAAAAAGAGAACGAACTTTACCCGACCCAAATTGCGTGTGCACTCCATGGATCTTGTTGCGTTACACCACACTGGTGAACAGTTCTGGTCCCCACATCTATAAAAGGATATTACAGAATTGGGAAAATGTGCAGGAACGGACAACTAAACTTATCAAAGGGCAGGACCAACTCCCCTGTGAGGAAGGGTTACAACAGCTGGGATTGTTTAGCTTAGAAAAAAGGCGAGGAGTGACATGAGGTGTAAAGAATTAAGCGTGGTGTGAGGAAAGTAGAGGAGACATGTGTTCCCTTTCTCATCACTCTAAATCCTGAGAACTCGCCATGAGGCTGATTAGTGAGAGATCCTTGACATATAAAAGAAGAAACACCTTCACACAGCACATGGTTAAATTAGGGGAGTTGCTTCAGCATGAACAGCGTTTTTGGACAGCTTTGAAAGAGGATTGGAGAAATTCATTCAATGTTTACTAGACCTGATGGGGGTTTGCTGCCTGTAGTATTAGAGGAAATATGCCCATATGCACTGGTTGCTTGGGAACATGGGTGGGAGGGTCTGCTATATTCATGTCTTGCTTGTATGCTTCCCATGCAGAGCAGGCTGGCCACTGTGCAGACAGAATCTAAACTAGATGCCTCTTGGTATGATCCAGCACAGCTCTTCTTATGTTCTTATAAATTGCCTCTTCACAAGAGTTGTGTATGTGAACATGCTAATATTTAGCCCAAATTAAAAATCAATCCACTATCTGATTCCACTATCCAACCTGCAACAGCAAGAAAAAGAGAAAACTTTGCCATCTATGCACATTTTTATGCCTTTCTGTTAGGTTGCTCATTAAGCACAAAGGTCCAACCTCATTGTCTTTGGAACAGCTAACATTTTTGGGTGACCAATAGTTTCAATTTGACTTGAAGTGCCAAATTTTATTTGCAAATAAAAGCATTTATGAGTGTTGTAATTGCTCGCTTCCCAAACACCTCATGAAAGTTCTGCATTTTCATCCCTACTTTTATGAATAATTTTAAAATATTGTTACAGCTATTTTTTATTTTCTGAATTAGCTGTTTGACCTATATCTGAATATCACAGTGATAACTCATGACGGTCCTACAGTCACTTTCCTGGGAGTAAGCTGCAGCGCACTCATTGGGTCTTACTTTTTAATAGACACGCAAAGGATTTCAGTGTTAGGGGACCAAAATTTTTTCACATGTACAACTAATCAGCTAAGTTATCCCATACTTGTGCCTTTGTTCCCCAATCCTTTTTTGGGTACCAAAATGTAGAACATTACATTTATCTCTGTTGAATTTCATATTGTTAGTTTGGCCCAGCATTTCAGTTTGTCAAGATAATTTTGATTATTGATTTTAAATTCTATAGTGTTAGATACCTGTCCTAGCTTTATGTCATCACCATATTTAATAAGTATTACCTCTGTGTCCTCATCTAAGTAAAAAAAAATAGCCATGTTGGAAGGCAGAGAGGTAAAGACCTAATCCTGTGACATCCTGCTCCAAATTGTTATGGATCCGTTGGTACAGTTGTTTAATCACCTGTGGTTCCTGTTGTATCCTGCCATGCAGTGTATCCTATCTTGTTATGTTGCCTCAGCGATGCAGGTTTGCCCACTAGCTGTGGCTCAGCTCCTGCCTCTCGCCGGATCCTTGCCATCTATCTTCCTATGCCATGTATCCTACCTCAAGGTACCTGCATCACTGGTAGCCTTCCTGTTCTTGACCCTTGGCTTGTCCATGGCTGCATCCATGTTTTCCCCCTAATGCAGGGGTCGGCAACCTGTAACACTCAAAGAGCCATTGGACCCGTTTCCCACAGAAAAGAAAACACTGGGAGCCACAAAACTCTTTTGACCCCTAAAATGAAAATAACACTGCATATATCGTTTTTTTACCTTTATGCTATGTATAAAAAAACTATAGTGTGTTGCATTTCTGAAACAGATCGGGGCTGTGCTATGCTGGCAAGTGTCACAGATCGGGGAAGGGCTGTGCTGTGCCGGCGCGGGTCGCAGATCAGGGGCTGTGAGCGACGGAGCCGCAGCAGAGGGATTCAAGAGTCACATGCGGCGACGGAGCCACAGGTTGCCATCCCTGCCCTAATGCATGCTCCTTGTTCTTGGCCAGGGCCAGGACCTGTTCTGTGACTACGACTCGGACTTGCCATGGACTATGTCTTGCCTCAGCTTCTGTTGTCCCAGTCCTAGTGCCTTTGTCCTTTCTCCTGCCATCCACATCCCAGCCCTGGACCCCTTACAGTGATACACAAAGGATACATCTACCAACCAATGGCCATTGGCTATAATAGCTATTGCAGAATCATCATATTCAAAGATAGTATAGGTTTGATTATCAAATATTGAGAGCCCATACATCAGAATAGCTATGACATTAAAAGCAGCTTCTGTGCTTCCCGCTATTGACTAATACTGGCCTAGATAGATTTTTGTTTGATCTGGTAAAGCAAAGCACATTTCATATCTTCATATGCAAAATGCAGAGCAAATTATATGCATCTCTTATTCTAATCCTATATAGATGGATGAGCTATAATCTTAAATGTTTAATACTCCTAAGGTACAAGAACTTTTGTTTTGGGGAGGGGGATCATTCTTATTTAGGGGCTATGTGATGTTAATCACATAGCTGGCAGCCTGTAACCTAAACATGAGCCTGAGGCCTATAGCTATCAAGTGAGCACAACCTGATAGATGGATACATAATTGATCAACAAGAATGAATCAAGCTTTGGCAAGAATTAAAAGATGCAATATACAGTGGTACCTCAGCTCACAAACGCCTTGGTTCATGAACAAATCGGGTCACAAACAAAAATTTCTGAAAAATTTTGGCTTGGGTCATGAACACCACTCTGGGTGGCGACCAAGATCACAGCCATCTCGCCCCCCCCCCCCACCGAGTGGGGAGATGGGCACGATTGCAGTTGCATTCATACAGGGAAGGCATGCCTGATCAGAGGTGCACTGCTGCAGGAAAGACGGGAGCAGCAAAGCAGATCCACGGGGGAGAGAACCGAGATCCCGCCTGTCTTACCTGCAGGAGCAAGCCTCTGATCAGGCACACCTTGCCTGCACGAATGGAACTGCGATTGCGGCCATCTCCCCACCCCCAGTGCACTGTTTGCGTCTATCTCTCCCTCCCCCAGTGCGCCCGCGATCATGCCCGTCTCCCCCCCCATGCACCAGGATGATGGGCACATGCAGTGATGACAGCCGCGATCTTGGTCATGCTTGGGGGGCAGGGAGATGGCCGCGCTTTTGCTTGGGGTGGTGGTGGGGGGGGAGATGGCCACAATCTTTGTTGTCACTTTGCTTCACATTTTTCTGAGTTAAAAAATTGTTACAGAATGGATTAACCTAATTTACATTGAACCTTATGGGGAAATTTAACTTGCCTCATGACCCATTTGGGTCATGACCAGAGAACGGATTAAGTTCATGAGCCAAGGTACCACTCTGTGTGTGTGTGTGTGTGTGTGTGTGTGTGTGTAAAATGGCTTCTTTATTATCAACTGGTTTCAATATTGAAAAGGGAACTTCAGACAGGAAAAGGTACAATAAGAGACCTGATGGATTTTGAAAAGACAGATTAAAATCCAAAAGACCATGTATTAGGATGAATCTACAAACAACTGCTCCATTAGGACACTGAAACACAAGAACTTAAACATGTATGATTAGTTGGATGCAGAACCTCCAAGAAGAAATAATGCATCATCAATGGGAAGCCATTGATGGAGGATATAAAATTTAGTGCTAGCCAAGCATTAAAAAAAATGGATATGTATTCTTGGCAGATATTACCGCAAAACATATACACAAAATGGATAAGAATTATAATGGAAAAAGTTGGAAATATAAGGAAATAGATGGGACTTTTTACCATCTATGTGATATATTTAAACATTTTGGAAACAGATGCATGTGGAAATGAAGATAAGTCTAAAAATTAATTTTCTCATGAATGTTAAGAATATGTTATTGAGTATTATACCTGAGACTTTTCCAAAGGCTATGCTAGAGTTATTTAAATAGAGTTATTTAAATATATGATAACAGTGGCAAGAGTTACAATAGCATGAAAGTGGAAAGCAGAAGACTGTCCAACTACCAAAGACTGGAAAAATAACCTAGCTGAATATTCAATAATGGTGAAATTAACTAATTATATAAATAGAACTGCCAAAGAAGTTAATGAAAAATGAAAAGCTGATTATGAGCAATTCTTACTATGAAGAATAATGTTTAGGAAAACAATTTGTGAAAATATCATTAGAGACATGTTCATGCTAAAGTTAAGACATAATTTACAACTGTTTTGATAGATTAGATTAATTTGTTTTTGTACCTTAAGTGAGAATTAATTGATTTAACTGCAGCTGGAAGAGATAGAAATTTTTGCTTTCTCATGAACAAGTTAGATGTTGAA